CAAATAAAATTGGTTCTGGGGGTGCCTGGGGTTGTGGCTCAGTGGCAGAGCGCTTGCCTAGCACACGTGAGGCACTAGGTTCGATCCCTAGCACTACATAAAAAGAAAAAAAGTAAACAAAATAAAGGTATAAAAAATATTTTTAAAAAAATTGGTTCTGATTTCCCATCTATGTGAGGTTGGAAAATCTAGAGTCCCCCTCAATATGTATAGGGTGTTGTAAAGCTTACATTTTTCTGGGTTTTTCTAGCTCTGAACTTCTTCCTCCACAGAGCCTTTGTCACCACTCAGCACATCACCTCCTGAAGCTTCTTTTCCTTAGATTATCATCAAACAGAAACTACTCAATCTCTCCTCTCCCCAAAGCATAACTAATGCAAGGTTGTATGCACAGTGGATCTCATGGAAAGTGTGGGCCAGAAATGGAGGACACAACACAGCCAATCCCAGCAGAGGCCAAGCTGACCCTTGAATACAGGACACTCCAATTCTCTGCGACTGCAGGGAAGGCCTTCAACCTTTTCTTGGCTGTAACCTCCTACCCCCATTGATAAGCAGCCTTTGTCCTTCCACCTTACCTCCTCTTCTGAGCCTGCTCACTGTTAAGCCATGAAACTTGTGAAGCCAAGAAGATTAGGAGTCGTTCTATAGGCATTGAGAAGTGCAGTGATGTGACCAGTAAGGCAATGGAATTATACTGCACTAAACAGGCAAGAAATTATGAGTGCCTGCTCCCTGACAGTCGAGGTCAAGAGGAAGCTTTAGAATGGAGAGGATTTGGGTACAGGTGGATGAGGGAAAGGGGAAATTGTTTTTATAGCCAAAAAGAGAACATGCAATAAATGAGAACGTTTTGAAACAATGAATAACAAATTTTACAACACAGTATTGGTAACAGAAGGTGAAAGGAGAAACAGAAAACTCTAGCAAAAGGGCCACCAGAAAACACCCGAGGGATACTGGGCTCTGGTGTGTACAGAGCACAGCAGAAGGAGCCTGAGTGTGAATCCTCCCTCCATCCTCACCCACCCTCTGGAGAGAGGCAGGTGGCTTCTGTCTGCTGTACCAAGGGGAAGCAGGATGAGAGATTAAAGGAAAGTCCCACAGGTATACAGAGTCAGAACTCAAAGCTAATACGTTGGACTCCATAGCTCATTTTCTTCCACTTCAGGGAAAGTCTCTTGAGATGTTTGAAGCAAGTCAATCTTTCTCATTCCATATGGATTGACAAGTTGTGATCAATTCTCATTGATTGGATCTAAAAGGCAATGAAGGGCTATCACACTGAGTTGTATTTTTCTTGGCACTCTTAGGTTAGAGTTTAGCATTAGGGTTTCTAATTGTGCTTCCTGCCACCTTCATTTTCTTGTCATGGACATTAGGTGAGTCCTGTCATAATGGAATCCTTAGGGAGGTAGTAGGGGAGCAGAACTCTGGGGAGCCTCTCAGCCTTCCCCCGGGAGCACAAACACAGTCTCCTATTCTGCTGTTTATCTCCAGTTAGATTTTCCATGACATAAAAATCTTTTTTATGAAAGATTTCTAAAGATTCAGAGTCTCTATATATAGCCTGATGAATTCCCTGGTTTTATTTTTCAGAACAACAAACCAATTTTTCCTTTCTCAGATTGAAGCCAGACTTGAGAGGTGAACCAGGAGGGTTGGTGCTTTGCAACCCCTTCTCAGTGATCTAAGATCACTCATTTGTGCCATAAACTTGCACTTGCTTGTTCCCTGAAACACCTCTGAGGACTGCTCTTTACCACACTTGGGGATGGTGGAAACAAAAAAATATTGAGAGGGTGGGGAGAAAATGCAAAGATGAATGTGTACATGTCTGTCCTCCAACCCAGGGATGACTAGCTCTCCAAACTAGGATTCAATACACAATCAAATGCTGAAATCTTAATAAGGGTAGCAGCTACCCCCAAGTTTATAAAACTCCAAGATATAACTTAGCAAGCATTTGATTAAGGTTAGCCTTTACTATTGTTTTTATTATTATTAGGCAAATACTATGCACCAGATTATTGGGCCCACTTTACCTCATTTAGTCCTTTCAGCCTCCCTGCCAGCTGGATATTAGGGTCTCTGTGTGGTGGCTCATCATGATAGCCAAAATCTTGAGGACTTTTGACATCCCTAGCACTAATTGGACACCAATTACATAATCCTTCTACAATACCCTACAAAATCAATGCCATTTTGCATTTTGCAGATATCAAAACCCAGGTCAGTCAGGTTAGGTGACTTATCCAGGACCACAAAATGGTCAAAAACAAAGGCTGAGTATAAATTCAATCCTGCCTGACCCAGAGACTCTTACTCCCAAGCTACTTCATAAAGACACACAGCCCCAAATGAAAAACCTATCAAAGAGAATCTAATGCACAGAGGAAACCCTCACACTTATTGGGATTTCAAAAGATCCTGTATCTCATCCTGTTCTATTGATTAGGAGAGCACTTTCCTGGATCAAAACTTCTTGAAATTAGGTCATGAGAATGACTCCTAAGCTCAGCATCTTTCTGTCACCTGTCAGCAGTGAGGAGAAAGGTGTTATAAAGTTCATGTAGCTCTTCTATATAGAGCTTGATTGACAGCCCTTGTAGGAAGGATGTCAGTTACTAGTTCAGAGTCAGTGATCACATTTTAAAAGAAATTTGCAAGGTTCTCAAACCACTGATGGTGAAAATGAGCCTCCTCTAGCAATCCCAGGAAACCCTGGACTCCTTCTACACCTTCTGCAGGACCTAGTAGAGTGGACAGTGTATATCAAAAGCACCTAGTATGGCTGTAGAAGGGACTGACCACCTGCTCTGGGCTCAGCATGGCAGGACATGCTGCTGAACATAGGAAAGAACTCTGAGACAAAGCAACAAGAAGTGAGAAGAAACAAGACAAGCACCCATGAAACAATTGTAAGGGCTGCAAGATACAATCAGGCTCAGGTCAGAAGTAGAGATACCTGAGATCTTGTTCCAGGTCTGCCCCTAGGCAGCTTGAGGCCCTTGGGCAAGACATTCACATCTCCTGATGTCTGGTACCTCCCCTGAAAAATGAAGAGATTGTGTGTGGTTGTCCATAACAAGAGTTAGGATAAACTCAGGAAGGAAAAGATGTGTTTTTAAAAGGCCCATTGTCTCAACTCCCCACACATACAGGCCCTCCAATCCTACCCAGCATCTGGGCACCAGATGTACTTACTCCCTGTAGCTGAGCTGTCTCCATCCAATTTTTTCTCTGCCTTTTATCCTGAGTGACTTGACAAGTATATTCAACCCACAACTTCCCAGACAGGTTGAAAGTTACAGGTGTGCCAAGGTATCGATCCTTCAGCCCTCAGGGCAGCTGCCATGTGGCAGGGGCCCCAGGCTAGTCACCTCTGCCTGTGAACAGTCTGACCCTTTTACACATTACTTCTTTGCCATATGCATACAAATATTATTTTCTAAGCTTGTGGTATAAGATGGTAAAGATTGGGATAACCTGATAACCTGTCTAGACCTTGAATTCATCATCTGTAGAGGAACATAATAAGATAGTAAGTGAATTACTATGTAGCTGAACATGAGCTTCTACATCATAGCGTTTTCATGGAGATTGTGTTTGTAAAGTATTTAATATGGGCCTATGTACATAGTACTTTCTCAGTAATGTTGATTCTCATCATTATCACCATCAATACTATTGGCCAGTTGCCAACCTAACAAGGCTAGAGTCTTTCATATTGCAAACAAGCAGTCCCTGTTTCCCATCCTGAAGTCCTGAAGTCCACTCCTAGCTAAAGAACACAGGAGGCCTGCCTCCTACACACCTCTCTCCAGGTGGACCTTGCAGAAGAGCATGCTTTGGGTCCTGAAGGTTTTTAACCAAGAGAATTTTTTTTCTCCACAGGGATAGCCTTCTATAAATAGGCTGCGCCTCAGAAAACACAGGAATGAATTCATACAATAATTACTAATCTGATAAGTGCCATAAAGGAAAATATGCAGGACACCATGGCAAAGTTCTCTCTCTCCCTTTCTCTCTTTCTCCCTCCCTCCTTCTCAGAAGAAGTGATCTTTAAGTAGCTTCATCTCTATGCACTGAAACAGGTGTCAGGTATGCAGAGATAAGTAAGGTGCCTGCCAACAACCATGGGATAAACACCCTTTCAAAACATTTCTGAGAATATTTTAATTCTGAGAATATTCATGTGGCAGAATACTGTCAGTCCAGCTAAGAACATTTGATGTTTTCCTTGTAGGAAATGCCTCTTCCAAGAAGCCACCAACATATCCAAGGGAGTCACTCTTCTTCATTCCCTACTGTACCATCATACAAAATTCAGCCAAAACCCACCACTGCCATTTCATTCATCAGGGATTGTCTAGGTGGAAGTCATCCATCAGGACCATGTAGGTGAGACTCTTGGGAAGAATAGCAACCTGATCTATTGTCACCTGTGCACAGAAGAGACTGCAGCCACCGTTCACCATTCACACACCAACCCACTGATCTCACAGACCAGCAGGTGGCAACACTCATGCCTGGAAATACAAATTTAATACTTGTGCCCTTTGGAAGACAAGTTTCTCCTATAGTTCTGAGGGTCAAGGAGTATAAAGAGCAGGAGAGGAAGAGGGAGGTGATGGTGGGTGTTCACATCACAGGAACAGGGAGAACTGGAAGGAAGAGCTGTAACCAAATCCCCATGCCCAAAAGAGTCTCTCCAGCAAGTTTCCTAAATCCTGAGTCTCAGCCCCAATGCTTCTCCTCCCTACATGCTGGCCCTGTTCGAAAAAAGTCAAGGTGGCATCCCTCTCATGAGAGTCTCTCATGCCTTTGGGAAGGTTCCCCATAGAGAGGGATTCATGTCCTCAAAAGATGTGCTATGCCCCACCCTCCCAGGGCACCTGATTAGAATGCACCTCTCTCTGTGGAACCTCAGGGGTGTGTGCTCCTTGAGTGAGCTGAGGAGGATGTGTGATGCTCAGGAGTGTCCCAGAGGCACTCACCTTTAACCTGCCCATCATGTTCTCAAGGAAATAGATGATGGCCTCATCCCCACGCAGGAGCTTCTGTTGTCTCTGTCCGTGTCGCTTTCATCTGCAGTAGAAATGGGCACTGCCTGCTCCTTGAGAGTGAGCAACTGGAAAATATTTGGGTGAGAGAGAACTGCTCAGTTCCCACTCCTTTTCCTGTGTGCACAGTCTTTTCAGCTCAGTTTTATCAAAGTCACTTGGACAAGGGGCAGCAGGTTTCATCGAGGTTAGCAAGAAAATGGGAGCTTTCTCTTCACCCTCACAATTTCTAGTTGAAGTCACGGAATGGAACAAGAAGTTTCTAGATTAAAGATTTTAAATATAAGAAGAAATTTTTCCAGATTCTGTTTTAGCAATGCATTGAGCTCATGTAGGACCTGGTCTATACTCCAGATGATTTCCAACAAATCTGTCACTGCTGAGGCTCTAAAATCATCGGTCAATAATACAGGGTTCCAACCTGTTTTATCCCATATCCAAAGCCCATCCTCCTATATGAATATTCCAAAAGCTACTGCTAACTAAGACTCCTCTAATTTCTTTTCCTCATCTGTAAATAACAGCCATTATCTCTCACTAAAGGAGTACCTACCTTATGCTAGGAGCTTTACATGTGTCCTTTGAAGACCCAAACAGTAGGCATCACCATTGCCATTCCCAGGTGGGGACCAATCTGGGGCTTAAGATTGGCTCAGGGAACAGCTCACCCTGTGGATGTAGTCCCATGAGCATTAATCAATGAAGATGATTAATAATAGCATGACCAAAAAAAATAGAATTCTTGAATTCACCATATTATGGAAACTGCACCACTAATAATCTTTGAAATAGTTTCGTAGAAGAAGATCCAGAGAAGAGAGTAAACAGATAGGCTAGTCACACATTTAATCAGCTAGTGATTAAACTTCCTGAAGCTGCTTTTGAAGTCATTTCTCTGGCCATAAGGACAGCTTCTTTCCTCCTTGTTTATATGTTGATCTATGGGTGCTGTGGTTTGGGGACTTGAGAGCTCTCTGTTCCCTACCCAGCTTTAATTGGAGCCCTGTCAGGTTCAATAACTAATGGTGTCATGCCCTCCCTGATTGACGATGCTGCCCAGCCCCTGAACACGGGCTGCTACTGTCCACCTGGGCCCTGCTTTGGCAGAGTAATCATAAGTCTCTTCTTTGACACAAAGATACATAGGCATTCCCAGACAAATTGCTTTTCTTCCAGACACATTTGTAAAAATTGCCTGGGTTTCCCTGACAGGCGATGGGGTAACCAAGGTTGTTCAGGTAGAGAGACAGCCTGACAGATCACTCCCTTGAAAAAGAAAACTGTGATTTTCTTGACTAACCAAGAGCATCAGAAAGAGGACATGAGGACTGGTTAGCTGGATCCCACGGGACTTGAGGCTACATAGGTGATTCTCAGAATTCAGCAACCTGCCTCTCAAGGGAAACAGCAAGGATGGAGACACCTTGTTACCTGCCATCTGGAACTCGGTTTCACAGAGAAAACAAACATTTCCCAGAGAATTCACGCTCTATTTTTCTCTTTGATCCTATAATTTCTCTTCTTACCCCATCTCCAGTCTACATTAAAGCAGGACTGGCAACCATAGGAAGATACACATGTCTTAGCTCTGCTGTGAATTTATAAAAGAAACAGAGATGTCTTATGAAAACTAAGAAAAGGGGTAACAACTGTCTCTGCAAAATGCTATACTTTGTGAGGATGTTCTGAAAGTGCACTGGTGTAGACCTGCAGTGGGTTCCATCCTGGGCCTGGGAAAGAGCAGATAACTGGCCCTCAAGAGAATTGACTAGATCAGCCCACCCCAACCTGCTGCCCTCTCCCCTATATGCAGCATAATAGATAAAATATGCTTAAAACTTATCAATCAGGCCTCATACCTATGACCTCTGACCCATCACACTTTTGCCCATCCCAGAGGCCTGGATGAAACTGCAAGATTGCTCCCTTGGACTCCCTGCTCCATTCCCTCCCATCTCTCTCTCCCACTCTGGATAGTTCTCTGGTGGGTAGATTTTCAGATCACTTTTCTCTATTAGACTATTAGACCCACAAAAAAAAAAAGGACTACATTTTTCCTGATCACCATTAAATCCCGAAAATCTAACTTAGATGCAATTAGATAATATTTTATAAATGTCTGGAATGAATGAATGGTTTGGAAAGCTACTACACTGGCTATCAGGAGGCCTTAGTTCCAACCCTGGCTCTGTCATTAAATGGACAGACAACTTTAGGTCTGAGGCTCAGTGGCATCATCTATAAAATAAAGAAACAACCCCAATGAGTAGTTGACACGTCTCCCCTCTCCTGTGCTCAGAACTACTCTGTGGGTCCACAAAGGGGTGTCAAGGGCTTTGGAGAAGTGTGAGATGAAGGGGATCCTAAGCAGACCTTCCTCAGTTTCCCCACCCCCTCAGATAGAGCTGTCCTGTTTTTGCTTATGTATGTACTAAGCTCTCAAATGAAACTGTGAGTGAAAAAAAGGATTCTACAACCAAGAAAGTTTTTAAAACTATAGAAAATGGTGAAATGTATAGTCCATTGCTGCTTAATCCTATTAATATATGAAAGGCCAGCCCTTCAATCACTTGACCCACCTCTGCAGACTCCTCCTCAATCCCCAAAGGAGCCTCACATGGCCTTCCAGCAATGCCCCTTCTTCTGCCTAAAACTACCCTAGCCCCCTTTTTTTTGTGATTGGCAAATCCCAGCTCACACTTCAATATGCAGCTCAAAAGCCTCCCTACCTTCCTATTTCCCCAGCAGTAAAGGAAAGTACTCCCTAAGAGCTACACTCACCCCACTGGGCCCCCAGGTACCTCATAGGTACTCCACAGTATCAAATGTGTGCAGCTAATATTGTGGGCTCAGCTGTTTATTAAGCTTCTTCCTGATTGGAAAATAAATGCTTCAAGGTCAACTTACAGGTTATACCTCTGACATTCACTACAGTGCCTGATTTAGTAGGCACTTAATGCATGTCACATAAAGCAAGCAAATTAGAAAGTCAGAATTTAGAAAATTGCCAAGTTAGCTGGTAAGTAGGTTAGGGAATTAGAGTAAGCTAAGCTACATGCTAATGGGAATCCCTCTCTGTGTAGAGTGATTGGCATTCAAGAGTGAAGAACCACGAGACTTCAACATTCCAGGTGAAAGTACGTCTATTTGGAAGTACTTATTTCTCTCATAGCTTTCTTTGGTGGGATGTGGAGGCAAATAAAATGCTTAAGGGGAGAAGTTCTTCTCCACCCTCTTCCTACTTCCAGCTGGGTCATTTTCCATCACCCACCTCTGAGGACGGAGAATCTTTGCCTGTGTAAAGAGCCAGGGCAGGCTGTAAGTGACATGACGAGATCTGGGGTAGGGGTGGGATGGGACTACATGGACTAAATATGTTTACTATTGGGCAACATTGTATGAGATCCAGTTTGGAAGTTCAACATCATACACAGGCTCTTTGGGAACACTGAACCTCAAGATGACTCTTCCTACATATGGAAGAACCTTAGACTCTGACTTGGAAAGAACTTCACACTGAAGAGATTATATTTTTCTGAACCCCATATCACACATCACCAAGGATATACAAGAGGGAATTAGCGGGAGCTTTTTCAAATAAAGAGCCTCCTGGTATCTTATCCCAACCTCTTATTTTTTAAATTTGTTCTAATTAGTTCTATATGACAGTGGAATGCATTTTGACACATCATACATAAATGAAGTATAACTTCTCATTTGTCTGATTGTACATGATGTAGAGTTACACGGGTCATGTAATCATATATGCACATACGGTAAGAATGTCTGATTCATTCTACTACCATTCCTACCCTCATGCCCCCTCCCCTCCCTTCATTCCTCTGGTCTAATCCAAATGACCTCTATTCTTTCCCCCATCCTTATTGTGAATTAGTATCCGCATATCAGAGAAAACATTTGGTCTTTACCAACCCTCTTTTAAATGTGTAAGTTCTAAGTTTAACTGCTTTTAGGCTAGCAACTTGTCAATTAACCCTCAAATAGTTCTGGATATAGAAATAAAACTGAACAGCAGGGATATGACAAAATGTAAATCAGGATATGTTTACAGTATTCTTAAAGGAAGGCTGATGGGATAAGGTGTTGAAGTTGTGACTGTGGGAAATCACTCTTATCCCCACCAGGCCTGCCTTGGAGTTCCCAGTTCTGAAAAACTCTAATGAGAAAATTTTCAGCATGTGTTTTATAGCATGCAGTCACTTTCTGACAGCCACCTGCACCCCAATATTGTATTCAATATTGATTTTCTCCAGCTACAAGGTGATCCTCTTGTGGAATCAATATGCCTCTTCTTCTCCACTCATTTGATGGATAATCAAGAAAAGCAAAATTACTTGGATAAAAACATAAGGCACATATGATTAGGAAGATAACTCTAAGACAAAAATATTTTTACTGAATTCTCAAACGAAGTAAAGATTCTTTATACATTTATTTCTCAGTTAGAATAGTGATTCTCTGTCCTAGTACACCTAAAACAACTCTTTTAATAAACACTGTGTAATGCTTCCCTTAGTATTCTGGAATGAAAACTAGAGATAATGCTATGTTCCTATCCATTTAATTCTTCAAAAAAAAAAAATCATGCCCTGAGCATGAAAGATAAGCAAATTTCTAATAAAAACAATATTTATTTCATGTGTTAACACTGGGCCCCAAGTACATTAGGAGACATAATGAAGCTGTCAGAGGTTAGCAGTCATTTGTAGAGCCAATATGAATACAATTGTCACAAACGCACACTCACCTGGGTGTATATGTGATGCTCAGAGACTGTGAGTGATGTTGTGTTGACAATGTTGTTTTCCAAAATGATGACCAAGTCTTGATAAATTCCAAAGAAAATAAGTTCCAGCTGTCCCTCAATTGACCCTGTTGTTACAGTCCTAGAAAATGCATATAAAACCATGCTAAAAAAAAAAAAAGTTTATATGTAAATAGAGATACTTCCAGGTTCAGAAACTGTGAAAAGATGAGTACTTAAATGAATATCCATTGGAACCTTCAGAAGTCATGTAAAAACATAAGACAGTGCTTTATGCTCTGGGACATTATTCGCAGAATGTCTAGCAGCCCAGGCCCCTGACCATTTAATGCCACAAGTGACCACAATCATTGTGAGAATCATAGTTGCACCCAAAGATTTCCAAAATCCCCCCTAGGAGAAAGTTCTGCCTTTGTTGGTAACCACAGCTTGGCAGTATTTTCTATAGGGTTCCCCCATTGGCCCAGATGATTAAAAGTTGACTCTAGTCGTGAAACCCAAGGAGGATGCACTATAGAAAAGACTCTAAAGCTTATCGAGTAGGTCTCTTCATTTCACCCACATGAGCGGTAAGAAACCTAGTCTTGGACATTCAGTTACTTGGTAATCTAAGAAGAAAATCAGGTTTCCCTTTCCATAGTTTTTATTTTTTATTGAAATTAGAAGGATATTTTTAAATGTATCTCTCTCATGCATCAGCTATTTTTAAATGGTTGATTGACTGACAAAATTTCCAGTTTTATCGAGGATATTGGGGCTTGTAAACTTTCACTTCTCCATTAAGCTTCAATGCCCAGTTAGATAATCTCTGGTGTCCACCCACTGGAAGCCTGGATTCCTGCATACAAACAAATCAGAAAGAATTGAAAACACTAGAAGAGCACTTAAGATGTGTCTAAAGAAGAATTTCTTGAAACAGAAATTGTGTTCTATGGTTACTGGCTGATTGACCTTCTCCCTGTTCTCCCCATGCTATAGTCACCAGGTTCCCCTCAGGACCTTGTAAAATGAATGACTGAGGTTCAAAGACTGCTTAAACCATGCACAATCAGGTCCTCTTCCTCTGACTCAGGACAGCAAAGGACTGGTCCCTTCCCAAGACCTATGGAAGACTTGGCTTTCAACTAAATTACCCTCAACAAGTGGGGTCTAATGGTGAATTGGGTGTTTTTACATTTAGTTTAGCAGATCGAATATTATGAAAGGAATATTTGATCGCACAAACTCCACAATACTCACTGGCTCTCCAAATTAAATCTACAGTCAAATCAATGCTGTTTCAAAGCATCACTTGGAAAAAAAATTCTATTTATGAGCCTTGAACGTTTTTAGGAGGTTCAAATGGGTAGAGAGAATAAGCTCATAGTATACAGGGATTATTAGATAAAGCTACATCAAAAAGAGAAATTAGTTGCCTCCTAATCACTTCTTCACCCAAAACTAGTAGATCAACACAATCTACATGTGCAAACTCAATACCCAAGAACTCAGAAGCTAACACAACGTCTCCAGGCTTCCAAGAAAATATCATTAGGTCCTCATACTTAATGCACACTCTCTACTCTCCTCATGACAGAGTTCTTCAGGCCTTCCTTCAAAGACCATTTCCTCTTAATTCTAGACTCACTCTAACAATTTAAACATCCTGTGTCAGAAGCAGCAATTTAGAAAAGAGGTGGTCTGACTGCTCCAGGTAAGCACCACGACAACAACAAGAAGTAACAACTGACAGTCTAACAGAAAAGAAGGAAATGGAAAAGTTATTTTTCAAAGTTGGAGGAGGGCAGAGGAACTATAACTAAATAGCAACCTGAGCCATTTAATGTGGGGACAAAGGGCTTGACTATCCCCAAGAGCATCTGCATAATACAGGACAATTTAGTATTTGATAGGAAAGAGTTAACTTAAAAACAGAAGAAGAGTTAAGTTATGCTCAGCATATTTTGCAGCAAGATTCAATACAACATATAGAACCCTAAAGTGTCAGAGTTCAGAGACCCTTATGACAGCATCTTGTATAATACTTTTCTTTTACAAAGAAGGAAACTGAATCTAAAGGGATGTCAAGGAGACAGGAGCCCAGCCTAACAGGTACAGCGTTTCTTCCATAGGGACATCTTCCCAACTGAAGCAATCCAGGGGAAGGAAGAGAGATTACATCACATTGAATAGTGTATTGTGTCACTGCTTTTGTCATCTCTGTTTTCACTTCCTTGCATTGATTTCACCCCCTTCAAAAGGAGAAGAAACTTGCTCTCTTTATTCACAAAAGAGTGAACCATTGTTCCCTGGTTTGTGATGAGAGGACCTCAGGGTTGACCCTTAATAAAATGGGGACTGAAGGTGAAGTTTGAGTTCCACGTACATCGGCCTACGTCTGTCCAACTCCTGGTGTTTCTGTCCTCCCACTGGCCACACACCCAGAATTTGCAGCCAGCCAAAAGAAGTTGCCAGCTTCCAGAAATTTGATGCATGCTCAGTTTTTTTCTAATTTGATCTCTAATCACATTGAAGAATAAAGAAATGTTCTGATATTTTTCATATGTAAGTGAACAAGAGCATTACTGAGGTGCTTGTTAAAATGCAAATTCCCCTGGAAATGAGGGTTCAGTGGATGATCTGATGAAAAGAGGCCCTGAACCTGCTTTGGAAAATGTACAGCTTCTGCTTCCCTCCAGACTCATCTCCTGATAACCCCATGTACACACTCCTCCACCCAAATGCTTCACACTGTCTCTCTCTGCCATATCTTTATCTCTTTTTTATCCAATGAATTCCTCCCTAGACCTCAAACAACTGAGTACACATCTCACATCTCTGCTTTCATTGTTCTCCTGCGTTTCCACACTGTTGAGTGTGTACAACCAACCATGTGCCCTGATTTTATGGCAAATCTTCCCCTGAAGGTAGGGGTACACGGCATGTGTATTTCTTATTCCTAGCACTTAACACTCTGCCAAGCACTCCAAAAGTGTTTGTTAAATTATAATCTTCATGTGCTAACTTCCTTATTAATAACTATATTTTTATTTATCCCCTTGCTATAGTAAAGCATTTTCACAGGCTGCTTAAAGCATCACTCTCAAATGAGGAGTATCTTCTGTAACATGTCAACATTGAACGGGAAGTATGTTATGGCAGAAAGCTGGGGTTGTAGTTCAGTGGTATAGAACACTTGCCTAGTATGTGTGAAGCCCTAGGCTCAATTCTCAGTACCACATGTAAATAAATAAAATTAAGGTCCACTGACAACTAAAATAAAATGTTTAAAAAAAAAAGAATGTTATTGCTTACTATAACCCTGGTGCCATTGGAGGGATCACACTGAATTAGGCCCAAGTAACTCAGGATTTTTGTCACCTAAGGAATACAACAGAGACAACATACAAAGGGGAAATTTTCTAAATAAAGATCAGTTTTTAATAGTTCTGTAGAATTAGTTCTGTTTGCCTTCCCAGACATTCCACTTAAAAGTGTTTTGGAAAAGAGATTGGAATTGGCTAGAATTAGTGTGGAATTGGCTAGAATTAGTGTAGAATTGATTCATGTCCAGTCATGTGTCCCGTAATGATGTTTTGGTGAATGATAGAGCACACATATGACTGGGTGCCATAGATTACAGTAGAGCTTAATATTTCCTATCAATCAATTACATCATAGCTATCATAATGGTTCAATATCTGTAGTGCAACACATTTACTCACATGTTGGTGGGTATACTGGTATAAAACAAACCTATTGCACTGCCAAGCTTATAAGTGTAGAGCACATATGATTATTAACTGAACATGATACTTCGTAATGAAAATAAATGACTATGTCACTGGCTTGTGTTTTTAATATACCATACCATTTATCCGTGTTTTAGACTGTACTCCTTCTACTTATAAAAAAAAATGGTTACTGTAAAACAGTAGGCTGTGTTACATGAGCAATAGCCTCATACTGTATTTACTGCACCTTTCAATCATATCATTTTCTCTTGTAAACCAGCTATTTCATATATAGATATAGACAGATATATACTTATAAATGTCGTATAATCTCAGTAGGTAGTAGCTTATACCATCTAGGTTCATGAAAATAAGCTCTCTGATGTTCGCACAACAAAATCACCTAACACATTTCTCAGAAAGTATCCCACTCTTAGGTGACACATGACTGGTACATAAAACTTTGTGTATTTGTTCTAAGATCCCAGAGATCCCCAATATCTTCCACCCAAGATTGTTAGCCACCAAAAAGTGAGTTCACTCCTGAAGTCCACCATCTGTGTATGTTTGTCCTTTGCAGGTGTGTGCTATGCAGAATTTGGAGTCCGAGTGCCCAAAACCACAGGATCTGCCTACACCTACAGCTATGTCACTGTTGGTGAATTTGTGGCATTTTTCATTGGCTGGAACCTGATCCTGGAGTACCTGATTGGCACTGCAGCTGGCGCCAGTGCTCTGAGCAGCATGTTTGACTCACTGGCAAACCATACCATCAGTCGCTGGATGGTGAACAGCGTGGGAACCCTCAATGGGCTGGGTGAGAATGCTGTAGCCTCTTTCCCCAACATGCAAATTTACTGAGCCAAATAAATGGATTCCTCTTTCAGACTGTAATTTGGCAAAATGTATCAAGAACCTCATCTGCTTCTTTTTGGTTTTGCAAATTCTTCATACTAAGAAAAATTTTCTAACTTTCATGAACACTTTATACAAAAAGATGTTCTTTACAGCCTTATTTTAAAAAGGTTGAGCATCTCTTGTCTGAAATGTTGAGACCAGAAGTTTTTTGAATTATGGATTTTTTCAGACTTGGGATTATTTGCCAATACTTATTGAGATATCTTGGCAACAGGACCCAAATCTAAGCACAAAATCCATTTATGTTTCATAGATGCCTTATATACATAACCTGAAGATAACTTCATTAAATATTTTTAATATATTCATGCATGAAACAAAGTTTCATGGTGTGATTTTTCCACTGTGGCAAAATCATGTCAGGACTCAAAAAGTTTCAGATTCTTCAGCATTTAAGATTTTGGAATTTTGGATTAGGGAAGCTGAACCTATAATAATCAAAAAATTAGAAAGAGCCTAAATATTCTTTAATGGAGCAAGTAAGTAAGTAAATTGTACATATTATGCACATAACAATTAAAAAGATGATTAGGGAAGCCTGTGATAATAATATGAAATATATTTTAACATAATGTCATATATAAAGGGATACAAACAGCACCATACCTGCACCATGTCAATGACTATATAAAACAAAACAAACTCAGAAAAAAGAACTGGAAAGAACTTCTCTGGTAGCTTCATCAGAATATATTTTTCAGATTTTCATAAGTAAGCAAATTTAAAATAAAATATTTAAAATGGATTCCATTTTAGCAAAGCTCAAGGAAGGGTAATAGAGCTGAATGACAGTGAAACACCTAGCATACCACAAGACCTCAGGCTCCATCTGTCACCTGCCACTCACTTTCCATCCTTTCAAAGTTGTGGAAATTAACCTTTAAGTGAGGAAGTCTTGCAGCCTTTCCTCCAAACTCCCAAGGAATGAGTGTGTGGCTGTGACAAGTCATTTAAATTCAATGTCTCTAGCTCAGAAAAACTGACAAAAATGCCGAGCACCGAGATACCATGATAAAGTAAAAAGTACGCAGACTGTGGCCTGTGCCATATACTGATCTCAGAAAATTTAGGAGTAACATGGCCCAAAATTCAGTCATCCATCTCCTAAACTTTACAGATGAGGTCCAGCACAAGACAACACGCCCAAGGCCACACCACCGGCTGCTGGACAAAGCACAGCTGAAATTCAGGACCCAAATCTAAGCACAAAATTCATTTATGTTCCATAGATGCCTGTGGCAGCAGTGCCTTTTCTACTCTATAGAGGGCAGGAGTTCACTGACTAATGGGCAGCACTAAGCAGGCAGGTCCTGTGTGCTGGTCATTTTCTCTCTATAATTACATCCCCATGAATCGAAAGAAAATTCCTCTTAAAATTGTTTTCAGAGACATGCAGTTTTTTCAGTGTATTTTTTTTAATTTGTTATATATGACAGCAGAATGCATTATAATTCATGTTACACATATAGAGCACAATTGTTCATATTTTTGGTTGTACACAAAGTAGAGTCACACCATTCATGTCTTCATACATGTACTTAGGGTAATGATGTCCATCTCATTCCACCGTCTTTACTACCCCTATGCGCCCTTCCTCTCTTTTTCCCTTTGCCCTATCTAAAGTTCATTTATTTCTCCCATCACCCCCCCCCACCCCCATTATGACTCAGCATCCTTAAATCAGAGAAAACATTCAGCATTTGTTTTTTTGGGACTGGATAACTTCACTTAGCATTATATTCTCCAACTCCATTCATTTACCTGCAAATGCCATGATTTTATTCTCTTTTAATGCTGAATAATATTCCATTGTGTGTATATGCCACATTTTCTTTATCCACTCATCTACTGAAGGGCATCTAGGTTGGTTCCACATTTTAGCTATTGTGAACTGTGCTCCCATAAACATTGATGTGGCTGTGTCCCTGTAGTATGCGGTTTTTAAGTCCTTTGGATATAGACCGAGGAGTAGGATAGCTGAGAGACAGACATTTTTAAATTCGTTAATAAAAGACTGTTGGAAGGTAGTGGAAATTATACACACTAGAAAATTAACCACCATGAAGATAAAACCATTTTCAAAGAACATGTTAGATCTCTAGATATATCCCAAAGGTTCTAGGACTGTCCTGATTTCAAAAACTCTGCGCCATGCTTCCATAGATACTGCCGTAACTGTCACATCACACATCCCAATTTTGGGGTCCAGGATATCAGGTCATCTTACCTGATAGACACTTATATTTGCTTATGGACCACAGCTTAGGCATGTACACACACACACACACACACACACACACACAGAGTTCCTTCTCCTCCCTACAGACTGACCATCACTTGGAGGGACAGAGCTGAGTGCAGAAACATGGGGTGGGTCAGGAGTTGACCTGACCCTTTCTTCCCTCTGGACAATACTAAACCCTGTTTCTCTGCTCTAGGGAAAGGTGAAGAATCATACCCAGACCTTCTGGCTCTGGTGATTGCTGTCATTGTGACCATCATTGTCGCTCTGGGGGTGAAGAATTCCGTGGGCTTCAACAACGTGCTCAATGTGCTGAACCTGGCAGTGTGGGTATTCATCATGATCGCAGGCCTCTTCTTCATCAATGGAAAGTACTGGGCGGAAGGCCAGTTCTTGCCCCATGGCTGGTCAGGGGTGAGTTCATTCCTAAAGCCCTGTAGATGCTGCCTGTCTTCCACCCTGAGATCCTCTAAGACATTTTTTCAAGAAAATGCTGTTCTGTTCCCTAATTCTCATGGCACCCTCTTCATCCTTATCATCTGAATTTAATTGGAATGTTCTGAAGAAATGTCTTTTTTTTAAAAAAAAGTATTCGTTTCACAAACATCTGTCATGATTCTATTCTATACAAATAATAATAATGACCCCCCACGTGGCCACTTGCAATATGCCGAACATGGTGCAAAGTACTCTGCATTTGATATTTCATTTCATCATCCCAATAATCTCAAAAGGAAAGTATTTACAGTCAGGTCAAAGAATACACACTTGGAGAGCTGGGGTTGTGACTCAGTAGTAGAGTGCTTGCCTAGCATGTGTAAGGCACTGGGTTCGATTCTCAGTACCACTTATAAATAAATAAAGGTCCATCAACAACTAAAAAAAATTATTTTAAAGATACACATTTTAAAAAGAAAACATGCTTGGAGAAGACAGAGGACTTGCTATTAAGCACACTGTTTAAGTGGCAGAATCAGGACCCAAAACCAGGACTGTGGACTCCAAAGCCTGTACAAGAACAGCTCAGTTCTGTAGAAGTCTGTTCCAGTTTACTAAGACAAACAGGCACCTAAATAAATAGAAAAGGCAGTAAAGGAAGCCAGGGAGAGTGGACACAAAAGGGAAGGATGAGGCTTGCCTTGGTATAAAACTAGGCAAAGGACAGTTTTTAATCCAGTCCCAACATTTGACCCGCTGAAAGTCTGAGGGCATTTGAGCTGGCTCAGTGGAGGGCTGGTTGTAAATTCCATTCCAGAGGCATGGTTCACAGCAGAGAAATCTACCTAATGTTGTCAGGGAGTTGGCAAGAGAGCAGGCTAGACCAAAGGACACTTTCAGGTCTCATCCCCATGATCTGGTGGTGTGGTTTATGTTAAACCCAAATGAGAAGGTCAGAGTGGCAAATTCCTTACAATGACAGGTGGTTCTAAGTTGTGTCTGGTTTCTTTCTCTAGTGTAACTAAAAATGCTCATTTTGGGATTTATTGGTAAAATTCACAAGCTTTTTTTTTTTTTTTTTTTTTTTTTTGATGGTAGAACATAAATCCTCTAGAGAATTTCAGCTGGCAGGAATCTTAGAGGTCCTCTGGTCCTATTCCCTCATCTGACAAAAGAATGAATAACCAGAGGCCAAGAGAGAAGAGTCTACTTAGTTCTGGGGGCAAAAATGCAAGTCCAAGAGTCTACTGGCTTTGCTTGTGTAGCTTTTGCTTAAACTGGTTTCCCTCCAAGATGTCCAGGGATCCGAAATCACTCTTGGAGAACACTCAAAATCACTTCTGTTTATTCTGAACTGTGCCATGCTGTTCAATGCAGAGAAACAAGCAAGGGAGTAATTTAAGTCAAAATTTCTATCTTTGTGCTTATCTATACGAATTCCCCAGAACCACCAAGTTCATCACTCCCTTCTGAAATGAAAAAACAATGAAACTGGTTAAAACCAGAAGAAGAGACAAAGAAATACTGTTGACCCTATTCTGCATTTCCACATCTTTATTTTCTTATGATACAAATTGTTCCCTTCCTATCACATAAAAGAAACAACAACTTATAAAAATGAAAAGAGAGAATGTTTTCCTGGAATTCAATTGCGTTTTTTTCTTATAGTTCATGAAAATGTTCTCACCATTTTCTTAACAATATAAGAAATTATCGGATCATGGATTTCGTACAAGACTTTGGCATCAGTTAACCTTCGTGCTCCTGGTATTCTTCTCTTCGTATCAGCAGAAAAACAAATTGCACCATATGCTTTCAAACAAGAACAAAACCTTAGCTGTTTTTATGCGTACATTCTTGCAGTTACAAATAGTTATGGTGGTGAGAGGAAAGAGCTGGCACTTTACTGACTACCCTGTGGAATGCTGGCATCACACTTTTGAATATTATCTCTCTTATAATAATACTTCAAAGTGGGTGATGTTAGCCCCAACTTAAAAGCAGAGAATGTAGGGTGCAGAGAAACTCACCCCTGACCAGCTGTGGGGCAGCCTACGTGGGGTAACCTACCTGATCTCACTTAGCCAGTTAGTTCCAGGACTAAAGTTCCCGCCCAGTTCTGTGTAACTCCCAAGCTCTTTTCTACTTTATCAAGTACCTTGCTGTAAGCCTTCTTAAAAACAATAAAATAATAAGGTAATTCATGTGGCATGTTCTATTTCTTTTTAAATTTTCACAAAGTCTTGGAATCTTGGAGCTGGGAGGAACATTAAAAGATCATCGGGCTCTTTTCTTGCCAGAGTCCTCCTAATGGCTCACCTGCATGGCACACACTGTAGCTCAGGCCCCAGGCAAAGTAGAAAGAGTTCATATCCTCTGTGAAAAAGCTCTTTCCACACTCAAAAGAAGATTAAACAAGACTTGTAGGCTTTTCTTTCCCCTGGTGCTTTGTTCTGGGGTCTTGATTTTCTTTTGAGGTCCCTTCTTCCCTTCTCAGGGGCTCCACAGCCCTCCTCCATTAAGGACCACCTTGTCAAGGAAGCAGTAATCAAGTCAGCCTTAGGGGTCCCTTGTCCTGGGGTTCCCACCAGCTTCTGTACCAAGGGAAGATCAGAATTTAGGCATAAAAAAGAAAAGAAAAGAAGCCAGACTTTCCTACCGTTTTCCATTTTCTGTGTGATTAACTCTTTCATATATACTTTTCAATTAATCTTCATAAGAGCCCTATAAAATAAGTATGACCATCTCAGATCACAGATCTGGACTCTAATAGAGGAAAATCCAATCCCCATCCTGGATGAGCCAACGCCCATATTTACTCCACTGCCCCACCCCAGGTTTGGACCTGTGGGACCCATTGTCTTTTTTTGCACCTTGGTTACCACCTCCTCCAACACACACCTACTATCTTCAGTCGACTTGTCATTATCACCAAAAAAGCTTAACTGGGATTTTGGATTTTCAGCGCCAAACCATTATCCCTGAAGGGAACTCAAGTGTACGTCCTAGTGACTGTGACTAAAAGTATCATCTGAGGCCGAGGCCCAGCCCAGTGTGAAGACATTGCTGACTCATCCTCTCTGCTCTCTGCTTGGCCTTGGATTGCTACAGAGTACATTTCCTCCCTAGTACGTGGGCCTGGCCCTATTCTTTCTCAACTTTGGTTTCAGGTCACTTTTCCAGTCCAGCAAGGCCCCTGTGAATTTAAATCCTATTTTTGAAGGTCTCCTCTCATGAGCATATTATCCACTGAGGAAGTAAACACATTTCCGATTCTTACCTAACAAATATCAACAAAAGTGTATTTCCTACTTTGCAGCTGCATGAACTCTTCACTCCTTTGGGAAACCCTGACCCCTACTGCTGACTGGGAGACAAATGCAGAGTTCCAATCTCCTTTGGGTAGGATGGACTGGGGATCACTATTTTTCGGGCCATCATTTGTAAGGATGCATTTGTAAGGATGACATTAAACATAATTCTCAAGAACATCAAAAGGGTTAAGGAACAGCCAGTCCTCACAAGCCTGCTAGTTCCCCTGCTCCAATTGCTTCCTTCCAAAGAAAATAGCTTAAGGAATGGTTTACTCACTTGCAGGTCTGGGTCAAATGCTTCTTGGGTCTTGAAGAGCTGAAGAACAACAAACATTTTCCCCTATATCAAGTAACTCCAGCCCTGAGCTGAACCCCGGCTTCCATCTGCAATTTCTCATCCCCTGAAAATTGTTGGATATGTGTTCCCTTTATGTTATTTGTTCTTGATGCTATCTTACAGTTTTTATTTCACCACGTAAGATACTCTACCAGCACAAATAGCTCCCAGGAAAATGGTCTGCAGCAAGCATGTGTGGGGAATTCTGACAACCTCCCAAACAAAGAGAAAGTTGTTTCTCATGTTCCCCACATCTGAATCCATTTGTTGGAACCTATTAGCACATTCCAGTGTCACGGTGGATGGGCTGCTAATAGAGCTGGGGCCCGAGGGTGGCTGAAAAATGCTATTAAAGTGGGAATTTGTCTTGTACCTTGGGAGTGAATTATGTAAAGGTGCCTAATTGTCTCCCAGGCATCTGGCAGACTGGCCATGACAGAATATAAGAGGGCCACCGCATCCTAATGCCTCTCAAATATCATCAAGGCACAGGAGCCTGCTTTCAAGGACCCCACACACTGAGTAGCAGGCCACTGTGACATTGTTTTTTTACAATGAGGTAAGCCACAGCCTTCCAGCAACTGAGGCACACGCTGCTTCCCCACAAAGCTCTCAGAGGCATGGACCCATTCTGGATCACCTGGCTTACTTTGGAAAACAACTTCAGTTTTGCCATCAAATTTAAAAGTCAATACAATTTCTAAATTATGTAAAACGCTAAAGGAAAGAATTAGGATAAAGCACCAATAACCCCAGAAACACATACACATGCATACAGACACACACACACACACACACACACACACACCACTTTACTCACCAATTTTATTCCCAGATGCTCACTCCCAGGGAACCTCACATATTCTTTCATGCATGTAAAGGTATCCTAATCATAAACGGACAGATAGGAGATCTGGAGAGAGTGAAGTGGAAAACAGTTTTAGTGATTATTTGGGTAGAGATGTACCTACACAGTCTCATTTCATGACTCTTTTATATTTACCATTTGCAGGGAAGAAAAACTCATTTGAATTAGCTCAAGTACAAAGGCAACCTTTTTGCTAATTTTGTCTTCCCTTTGATAATCTGTTTATTTAATCTGTGTCTCGATTAGCCAGGTGTGCTTGACCTTGGCAGCTGTGCTGGTCTTTGCCCCTTTGCCTCCACTGCCCAGGTCCATTCTCCACCCCTCATGCTCTGTCCTATGCTCCAGAAGACTCCTGCTCATTGCTTCCTGTTGGGTTTAGCCAGTGGAAGATGTTATCAGGTGAGCAGAAGATGAGAAGAGGAAAAGTCCAGGGGATTTCTTCCTCACTCCCTTCCAGCCCTGGAACCACACTGGCAGTCCCTGCTCCACTTCTCCAGCTCCCGGTGGCATCCAGGAACACCATTCTACCCTGCCTCTGGGCTTAGGGATTATACCATCTTACTATTGCTTCAATATCCCAAGTTGGTCCTTAACCCTGTCCTACTGGTTCATATCCACCTATAGTTCCTTCTTTGATGTCATTTCATTTGAATCATCTGAGTTAAATTCTGTTGACTGCCTAATGCAGCAAAACCTCCAGATGTCCTAACTTTGTTCAGTTTTTCTTCAACTCTAATTGCTTTTCATATTCCATATATCCAAATTCCGCCTCACATACATCCTCTTTATAAACATTCTCTCTCTTCCCAGCTTGATAATACTTAATTTTCTGGTATCTAATCGTTATCAATAATCGCCATCCATTCTTTCATTCATCTGGAAAATAAAAGCATTTATGTTTTCCAAATAATGTAAATACCTAATAATATTTTCCAGTTTGTTATTACAGTCAAGTTTGCATTTAGGTTCTTGCAGACTCCAAATATTCCAGACTTCAAATCTCCCAAGGTCATGTTCAGAGTACTTTTGGCTCATGACTTTATCACCATTACCAAACACAGTGCCTGACACATGGCAGCGCTCTCTCGCGCTCTCTCTCTCTCTCTCTCTCTCTCTCTCTCTCTCT